CACCGGATCTGAAACCAGACTGGAAGGGTGTTAATAAAGATTTATCAATAAGATAGTTGTAAACATATTTATATACACAGCGTTCCAACATTTTCCCAACAATTGATAATAGAGAGATAGGACGATAATTACTTAAAGTAGATGGATCGTCTTTTTTAAATACTGGTGTCACATGAGCAGTTTTCCAAGATGACGGAAAAATACATTCAGTGAGCGAACGGTTAAATAGGATTTGTAGTGGATAGCTAAGAATATCGGCAGCTTCCTTAATCAAACGAGGACTTATAAGGTCGGGACCAGAGGCTTTCTTCATGTCAAGGGACTGTATTGCATCAAGAACGTCTTGACGAGATATAACAATGTCGGAAAGTATGTGAGTATGAGAATAGTTTAGAACAGGGGGATCAATATTAGAGTCATTAATAGTAGATTGTGAGGAGAAAAAAGTGTTAAAGGCGTTTGCTTTATCGAGATCGTCATAAAAAATGTCGTTATTGGCAGAAATAGGAGGAATGCCGCCTTTTCTTTTAGAGTTAGACATAAAACCATTTATAATTTTCCACCATTCCTTGGCACAAGTGTTAGTATTATAGTTGAGTTTATCACAGAGTTTGTTAAAATAGTCCCGTTTGGAATTACGAATGGCGTTTATACAAGTATTTCTGAATTTTCTAAATTTTGCCCAGTCGTCTACTTTACCAGAATGCTTAGCTTTTCGATGAAGGTATTTTCTTTTTCGGATCAGTTTTCTTACTCTGTTGTTTAACCATGCGGGAGCGTTACTTCTTACAGTTATAGTCTTATTCGGTATACATTCTCTAGCCGTCTTAAGTATAATGTCAGTAAGTAGGTCAGTACATCTGTCTATGTTATTATTATCTAGAATGCTGTCCCAGTCAATTTTAGAAAGCTTGTCTCTGTAATCGTCATAGTCACCGAGGTCATATAACAAAATGTTACGTTTAAAACATGATTGAATGGGTTTGGATATATTAAGGCTACCATATACTGGGCAATGATATCTAATAGGCTGGTCTAGGAAGCTTTCACCGACATGACATAAGTTAACTAAGGATGGGTCACTAGCACAGACTATATCTAGGAGAGAGGAAGACGATTCAGTGAAAAAGGTAGGATTGGCGACACTCTGTGTAAGATTGTAAGTAGTTAGTAAGTTGCGAAGGTGAATAGAGTGGTTATTATTATTATTTAGTAAGTTTGCGTTGAAGTCGCCGGTTATTATAATGTTGGGAATTCCAGTGTTAAAAGCAAGTTCGATAGAATGAGCAATATGGTCCCAAGAAGAAACAGGTTCATCTGGGGGTCTATAGAATGTCCCATACAGAACTAGTTTACCTAGTATGTTAAGTTGCACCCAAACGCACTCAACTGAGGGTAATTCTAAGTCAGATCGACGCTTGGATGTTATGCTGTTGCTAACGTATACTGAGACCCCACCTCCTTGCCTATGAGGTCTACAATAACAATATGGAGAAGAAAAACCAGGAAATTCGGAATCAGAAATTATCTCATTAGGACTAAGCCATGTTTCGGTAAAAGAAAGGATACTAATCTTATACAGTTCACTGAAGAGAATATCAAATTTATGCTTTATGCTTTGTACGTTTAGGTGAACAAAAGTATATTTGGCATCGTCAAATAATGTTGTAAAGTCAGATGAGCACGAAGAAACTGACGATTTTGAGTTCGATTTATGGTTTTGTTGACGTTTTGGTATTATCTTGTTGATTTTTACAACACAAAAGAATTGTTGGAGCTAAGATGTGGTTATATAAACACGAAAAAGTGAAACTGACCGAGACGAAGCATTTTTTTCTTTGCCTTCATCCTGTAGCAATATTATATAAGTGGCAGAAATTAGAAAATCAATATTTGTAAAAGAGTACGAAATGTAACTTGGGCCCGTATTCATGAAACTGTGTTCATGCTCATATTTGTGCTCAAGCCCATTTTTTTGTTTGTTCCCAAAATAGATTAATAATAAAGTCACCATTTCATCAATGACGTAATAATTCTGGTGAGTCATAGAGTCGAGTACCATTTTCATTGATAAATGGTTGTTTTTTTGGCCATGTTACATGATTTAAACGAGTTACATGAAAGTTAGCCTGGGCACAGAATGCTTCCTTGAGCTTGAGAACGGTTTCATGAATACAGACCAGGCCCAAGTGTCAATAAACTTGGTAAGTTACGATAGTGGGTTTCTTTCTGTTACGCTTGTATAGTTATAATTAGGCTGTATAACGTTCTACACTATTGCATGATTTGAAAAACATAAACATACAGATTACAAATTATTTTATGTAGGATTTGGTTTCAGTTCCAAGAAATCTAAGCTGCCTCACATTTTTAAACCATTACGGTTGACTTGCATGCTTTTTTTGCTGCTTTTTTTTTGAAAGAAATCGATATTCTATGTAAGCAACGATCTGTATCCCTATTTCAATAACAAAATTGCAGACAAACAGATATTTTCTTCTGATCAAGCTCAAAGTTGAATATGCAAGAGTAGTAAACAGAAAGATTCTTCATATTGTTTTATACTTAGTGAAAACACCTATTACAAACTTTGGTGCTCAAATTCAAGATGCCAACTTCTTTATCCAGGCCATGCTGAATATTGAAAAGCATGCATAATTAAAGACCAAATATATATTGAGATAGGATCTTAATGAACAATCCCGTTACTATAGTTAAATCATAAGATGATGGCCTGGCAGCCGTCTTGTTTTTAGGAACAGTTCCAAAATTGAATGACCGCAATTAAAGACCAAGAGAAACCGACTTGTTGACGTTCAGAAAACTCTCTGAAGTACTCAATAAAGATCTTACACTGTCAAATTTCAAGATGGCCGCCTTGCAACCATCTTGTTACTATTAATACAAACAGGAAACCACTCGTGAAATGATAAAGATTCCTTTAGTACTTTCTGAGAAATGGGATTGGTGATAACAATCTCTAACTTTTAAGCAATGATGTTGATGTGATCAGTTTCATGATGCAACATGCACAACTAGGACGGATAGAATAAGGGAAAGACCCGTCGTTTACACATAGAGAAATATTGAAAGGATATTTAAAAGACAGACGATTGACGAACGAGAGACGACGAACTACGGACAAATGTTATTCGAACAGCCCAACATCACTTGAAATGTTTGACTAGATGTAGCCAGTTGGTGACATGGTTTCTTTTTGGTTGACAATACAGACTCATATATAATATAAAGTTTCAGAACAGTTATGAAACAAGTTGCTTGCCCAGATATAAGCGCAGGGGATCTAAATGCGGAAGGAAACCGGATTACTCTGAGAAAACCCAGCTGGTCGGGCAGGTGACCCCGAACCTTTGCACGCTCGATCGGGGAATCGAACCTTCGTTTCAGGTAGTTGATAACCATGGACAAGATTCAAAATCGTCATCGGGATTTCACAAGTAAATATGCTATTTCTTTGTGTGATGTGAAGTTTTTTTTTATTATGCTCACTAGAGTTCCTTGTGGTTTAGTTGTCACTACCCGAGTTCGCGATGCGAGGATGTGACATTATACGGATTCGACATATATTTATATGCCGGGTGTCATGGATGAAGCAGAAGACGCTTACCCTTCCAGAATACCTGGTCTTTTTCTCCTTGTACTTTTTCAGGAGTAATCATATACATCGTTCATATGTTCATATTTGACTCTAGTTTTGTCGATTTTGTGTCCAAGTTCTGGCATTGTTGACACTTCGGTATCCCCGTGTTGGTTTTCCTCGGACGACTATATTTTGATGCTTACATATGTTCATTTCTCTTTGTCTTATTATTTACATAAATATAGTTATCGATTTCCTTAAGCATCGGGTTGAACAAAGGCACTGTTTGTTGTTTGCTTACAATTTTGCCGAATAATGATACAGTATAGTATACAATTGTTATGATTGTACCTAACGACCTTGCGACATTCCAATTTCCCGATTTTTTGGAGAGGGGGGGGGGGGGGGGTGTGTCTATAACAAGGGGCCGCGGTTCCCGAGTGGTTAAGGCGTCTGTCATTTAGCTACCATTGGGACGCGGGTTCGAGTCATACGTGTATGTTGGGTAGTTACCAGGTACAACCGCAGGTAGGTTGTTTTTTCTTCGGGTACTCCGGCTTTCTTCCACCAACAAAATCTGCACGCAATTAAATGACCATAGCTATAAATAGGACGTAAAAACCGGAACAAAGTATATATGACCAAATTTTAATGGTGCAATCACATTTGTGTTCCTTACATCCATCCCTTGATTACCTACTCGGTGCCGTTTCCCTCGATACATGTGTACCCAAAGCTAACCGGTTTTCAGGATAATGTAACCGGACGACAGTAATTCTACCCCGTCCAGGCTAGGTTACATCAACATAAAGACGTTTTTTAAGCGGTCCATTTACCTGAGGACACTGCCCTTACTTGCCCTTAACTTTTGAACGGACGCAAAAACATTAAAAACAAAACCAAGCGCTCATTCCTTGCCCTACAAAATGGCTGTTTCCAATATCGGTTACCGTGCAAGCATAATGTTTCTTAAATGGACGATGACGATAGAGCACGGTTTATTATATCCGAACAAACACTGTTATGGATTAGGGACATTTACTACGACACGATGTTCGATCGTTCTATGTTTTATTAGCATTATTCATAAATTGATTAGTGGAAGAGAAAGCTTGCATACTGGTACATTGAGTGAACGTGTTTACACAAATAGCATTGTACCTTTATCCTTTATCACAAAAATTGATTTTCTTTTATATTATCTCATGCAGAACTGTTGGCAATGGTTCAGTGACTTTACGTAGTTTTGAAACTCTACCTTGTGAAATATTCACCACTTGTTTCGCATCATCGAGTTACCGAGGTGAAAATTGTTAAATCGATACTTAGAAGCTGAATAATTCACATGACAGTCGGCAAGCTTATGGCAACTAATTAAATTTCTCAAATGGGACGGGTATGTCTGTGACCGCTTTGAGTTGAGTATCTATACATATACATTGGTGCGTGTTTGCAAATGTATTAACTGTGTTCGATATACGCATACGTGGTCTCCGGGAAGTGTCGCCAACAGCCCAGGGCTATCGTTAATCGATTCTGCCGCCAGAGGGAGCTGCGCACTCACCAACAAACACTCGTTGAACAGACGACAGTCGACAATGTGATTCCACACTTACTTATCATTTTCTGGAGTAAGAAAAACAGAAAACAGTTGCGTAAGGTCCGAAAAAAAAAGATCGGACCAGTTCCGACATGGTTACGCTACCAAATGTCATGTTTCTCTGGATTTCTATTCTATGTTTCTCGTTTCACACCGGTTCAACAACAGGTAAGTCTTTCTCCTTCGTTTTGAACGCTCATATCTTCGTATATGTTGTTATTTTCTATTAATCAGTATACTTATATAACATGTATATTTTGTAAAATGATCTATTCTAGGATTGAAAAAACGTTTTGTTTGCAGTGATAATGTAAAATGTACATAGACAATATTAAAAAAATATTAAATGTTCCAGATTTTTTTATTTAAGAACATAGTGATAATAACTTATGAATGACATTCTTTTTTCAGCTTATATAGTATCTTTTGTATGTTTCTTTGGTTTTTTTTTTATCTTTTTATCTTTTTATTATTTATTAATTTACTTAAAATGTTCAAATATCATCAAGTTGAAAATGTTCCCTTTTTCTCTCTCTATTTTTCTATTCTTTGTCATACAGAATATTGACATATCATACATCATGCCATTATGGGCTGTGAAATTGTAAATTCGTTCACAAAATATTTCAGCTTTTCGATTTTTAGTATTTATTTCATATGTTGGGAATTTACCTGAAATTATTGTATTATGTTTTGCTGAATTTTCATTTTCATCGTCTGACAAATGAAGCATTGAAAAAATATTTGAAAAACAAGCCATTCGGATTGATATATACCGCCTGTGCCCCGCTTTGACCATCAGCGCATATATCAGAGAAACTGACATAAACGAAAAAACTTAATGTTGATGGAGATGCTGACAAAGTCAATGGACCATGAAAGGTTGGCCGCATCCAGCATTTGATGCATGGGTTGAGATGTACTACCTAAGATGTATCTATGGTCCAAGTTTGGTTGGTCTAGCACTTATACTTTCAGTGAAAACTGCATTAAACGCTAAGAAATAAAATTGACGTCGCCACCGTCGTCGTAAAAGCCACCCCTTGTTCTCGCTGCCGCTACTTCGGCACGGCAAGACATTTGAGGAAAAATGACAACACGGCAGCCTTTGGTCGATCAAAATTACTCGTTCTACACCACGGAACTCTTTTGTGTAAGAAGTGTGAATTAGTTCATACTGACAACTTTGTTATCATCGGTTACGTGACTCGGAATGGTATCGATTGAACCCATCTAAATACGTACAAGGCATGCTGTAGAATGTAGTGTTAACTGGTTTGTGATTTTACGAACCAATCCTTGTAATTAAATAAGGGATTAAAGACAAAAAGGAGAAAAAAGAACAAAATATTTATCTTGAATAAAGTTTACTGTAGAAACGTTTTACTGGTATAAGAACTTAGAGATACGGTTTCAATTTCAGAATCATTATTATACATATTCTTATAATTAATTAAGGGATTAAAGACAGAAAGGAGGAAAAAAAGAATGAAATATGTATTTATTTGTGCATAAACTGCTACGCAAATTTATGCAAAAGACACAGAGTTTTATTTGTTATATACTATATAACCCCCCAAATGCCCCCTTGTTATTCCTTAATTAAATAAAATCGAATTGATTAGATTAGATATGTTAATTTGTAGACAGCGTATAGTGATATCTTTATTTTGATTAGATTGGAAAAAGCAGACGTTGTTTCACAAAGCATGTACAGTTTAAACATATTTTATTGCCAAAATAGTGACAACAGGATTGGGCACAAGTTATTACAACATTATTTACGCCCTTTCCTCAAATATATACATCAGATTTACAAAAATGGCACAACTAGGTATCAAATAGTATGTATAATAGTAGCATTATAACAACAGAAACAAAAAGGGAAAGAACAACATTGAACAGTCTCACAAATTGAGTATAAAATGCCTTACGAATGAAAACCTACCGTTGGTCTTTATGAATTTTTGCACGTTACGAAAAATATCGTTATCTTGTTGAGAAGACAGATCCGGAATACCAGATAACAATATATCTAAGGAGATTTCATTAACAAAATTTAGATTTTGAAACAATTCTCCTTGCTTGTCAACACTTGCTACCAGAAACCGTGGCAATACATATATACTGCTTAACGATTCGACTGACTTTCAGGGTTGGTTTCCTATCTACTCACGCTAGCTGTATTCATCACAATATGTAACCGGCTCTGAAGTTTCATTCGATTTATTTCAAAACATATAAATCAGTTGTTTAATTTATCGATAAAAAATCAAATCAATTTTTTTAAACAGACAGTTAGTTCACTGCAGCAGTGTCGTTTAATCTCTGATCATAAGCGATTACCGAGTTTTGATATTATAGGACGGTGTACCTAACAGCTTTGTTTTGTCCAGTTACATACTGTATACGTATGTTTAGTGGTTGGTTGACCTTTGTTACATTGTCACTTACATATGGGGACATGGGGCATAGTGACACCAATATTCAATAAAACTTGCACAATAATAGTTATGGCCCCTTCGGGATGATTTGTTTTTGAAGGGAGAGAATGTCTACTTCGTAAAATACTTTTGCACATTCGGTAGAGCACTAGGCTACTAAGCAAGAGGTCCCGAGATCGATCCCTTCCGGAGGCATTGAAAACATAGTGACATGTGTTATATTGGCGCCGGCTTAGGGGCCCGTGAAATAAATAATGACAACAATTATAAGCGATACTTTCACAAGAATCGTTATGACTCCTGGAAAACTCGAGTGAGTCCTTCTGAACCCACGATCTCCGGCACCAAAACACTTAGCCTGCAGTATCTGCAACTATAGTCATTACACTGCCGCGTCCTCCTCAAAATGAAAGAGATTTTGAAGTTGCTATAGTCAACAACTCAGTTATTAATGGCAAACTGTGAATTGATGATATGAGTACTTTGATTGATATATATTTGTGTATATGTATAGGAAGTTCACAAATATTAAACACTAATATTTCTCGGCTTGACGAGTTCGAGGCCCGGTCGGTAAACGAGTCGAACTTTTGTCTTCTTCGCTAGTTGGTTCTTTCTATCTACATGTATCTTTCGTTTCTCAAATACGATTAATCAGTTTGGGAATATGTTTTCATGAAAGTTTTACTTTATACACAAACAATGTACGTATAAAACCTGATACAACGTTTCAAGACCGACTGGTCCCTTTGTCAAGCTATGACTTATAGAGTCATACTGTTTCAATCCACTACTGTATGCTGATTCGAACTCAGGGTCCTTCTACCCCTAGCCACCTTTCTTTTTGAAACCTTCACACTCATTTCTCTTTTTTTATATACAAATTTATTCAACATATTTTTTTATGTTATTTATATATATAATGAAATATTTTTAATTATGTGATCTAATTTCTCAGTTGTTTTCAAAAGTGTTTTCTTTAATTTTCAACAAGCCCCGGCCCGCTAAATCATTGTATGGTCTGCAAAAATTTCAACCCCTTAATTAGTCATATTTAAAGACCCCCAAATAAATATCGAAATTCATATATGAAAGTTGGATATAAAGAACTTGTACTAAACTTATTATTTTTTGTCGATAGTGAGGCACTAAAGCTGATGTTTCAATAAAAAAATATTCTCTGGCATTATAACAAGTCAATCTCTTTTGCAACTCAACTAAATTTAACAAAATGATATACCATCTAAAGCTATATAAATATTTAGATACCTAGGTCATATTACGCTTAATGTCTCTTTTACAAGCGGTTGAGAAGAATATCGGTCACAAATCAAGATGGATATGGCTATGCGAAATCACTGAAATTACAGAATAATTTCCAAGTTATATATTAAGCAGATTGTATATAAAAAGACTAAGTGATTTGGATTGATAAAGGAACTTTACATGATATGCAATTTCATAACATTTGGTTATTATATAAATGAGCCAGTCATGTTATTAACACTGTAAATGAAAAGTTCTATAATGTATATTACATGTAAGTAATAGCCTGGATTATTTTTGGGGTTATACATTGTACGTTATATACTGAAAAAACTGCGAAGCGGTTCATACCATATACATATAACACCCAACAATAATTCCGGCTATCTCTTATAATTTAATGTAAACAGTCAGACAGCATTTTTTTAGTTCATAGTTAGTGAATATTTGTTCATTTCTGATAAAAAAAAAAAAATGTACAAACAAAATAGCATTGCGCAGTAATTATATCGCCAAAAAACGTCAACCAATCAGAAGTTAGAATTACAAATACCGCGCCAAACATTCCGGTGTACAACGTCATTACCTTTTGTGTTGTATGCCTTTTTTGTTAACCATTTGGAGGAATAGCTAAACTGTAAATTATTACAGGATAGCGTTTATGTAGCAACGCTAAATATCCCGAAAAGACATTTTATATAAAGTCTATTTTTTCATTAGGGTCATGTGGCCCTTTGATGTGCATTTATGTAACCGTAAAATATGTTACCGGAACATTTAACTGATTATTATGGTTTCTCAAAGTCATAGCCACTTGGTTTGAAGCTTAAAGTTTGAAAGCTAGTCTAAATAGAAAGTAAGCTTTGCGTGACCTAGGTATATCAATACAATTTAAATCATAGAGCATTGTGTAACATTCAATTTGGTTAACAAGCGATGGTCATGTTGTAAAGCCGATAAGCTGTTTTTATTAAGAATCTTAATTGTGAGTGAAAAGAGAGAAGAAAATATTCTCGGAAGGTCTAACATTTTCAATTTCGAAAGTAGTTTTAAAATGGCACATGAAAAAAGGAAAACAGTTAGGAGATATGATTTCAGAAAAAAAGTGATTTTATGAGGTTGAAATAAAGATAATGACGTCATACGTTTATCCCTCTATGACGTCAGCACTGAGGTTCAAATAGTATCGGCCTTTACGGCACTCAAAGGCATATGACGTAAACTTCATGTGGCACACATGCACAAAGGGTTAATTTATTATTAAGACTTAGTTATTATTATTATTATTATTATTTCCTTTATTTCCTTTATTTCCTCCAGAAATGAAGAGTTACAGAAATAACGAACAAAACACTATTGAAAAGAGAAGAAAATGCATTCACAATCATGGTCACACCCTGACATAGTGACTCACACATGCACATGGACAGACACACACATAAGAGAATAATAATAGTACATGCATCATACCATAAAGTAAACTTAACGTAAACTTCATGTGGCACACATGCGCAAAGGGTTATTTTATTATTAAGACTTAGTTATCGTCAACGCAAATCATTTCAATAACTGATGTACATTTTCAATATATCTAAATTGCATACGTGAATTCGGATATTTAATTATGGTCTTTCAATATGACTTATCGACGGGTTGTCGTTTTGGGTGACTGTTTGTAACTCAATTGTAAATATGTTATGTATGATATTTGGAGAAGTCATCTATAAGTTGGAAAAACTTATTGACTAATCATATTGTCATAATATATGTCAATAAAACATGTTTAAACTAAAGGGAACTTGTTGAAACTGAATTAAATGATCTTATTTACCCAAATTTTGAAGAAATCGTATTATTTCGAGAAAATTAAGAATAATATTGTGATTTTTTCTTTGCTTTTTTTTCCTTGTCTTCTTTTAAGTAGTTTATTTTTTGTCATGCGTTGCTAACGCTTTCTTATAATTTATTTTCGTACAAAAACACTATTTATCATAATCTTAAACGGTAATCAAAATTATTATTTTTTTTTTTTTTTTTTTTTTTTTTTTTTTACTCAAATGGACTTAAAAACTGGAGGGGAAGTGTTATGCAATCGTTTCAGAATTGGCACCAGCGCGGAGTTTCAATGATTAAACTAAAATGAAAACAAACAACTTTATCATAGGCGCGTATTGGTTTTAAGGCTAACAGTGAGTAGGGGTATTGTTGTGTATTTGCTAGGAATATATATCATTCTACGTATGCTTTGTCATTAACCTGTCAGGTCAAAGATCGATCTCAAGCTGGGGGTATTTGTAAGGTTGGTGAGCATGATGTTTACATCAACTTGCAAACTATTGAAAATAAAAATCTATTGATTATTGTTTCAAAATGAAAGAAAAAAATCGTTAACGAATATCTGATGACAGCGAATTATATTACACTCCTCATTAAATAGTCAATATTTATTTTGTCCTGTGGTCGAAACTATGTATAGGCTAATGTATCCCCTTTGAAGGTTGTACGCAATAAAATACAAAAATAAATACGTGTAAACAAAGGCAAAAGTTCGTTTGACCTGTCATAAATATTGTTTTACATTTTATGGTCTATAAAATGTACATTAAGGTAAATTTGATCGTATCTGATGTCCGGAATTTCTCAAAAGAGTTCTCATAGCATATTGTTTTTTTATGAAACAAACTTTTTTATCGTACACTTAAGGATCCTAAAGACATGTACATAAGGGTATATTTTGAATTGTCTGATGTCGAGAATCTATCGAAAGAGTTCTCATAGCATACGGTTTTTGTTTAAAACAAGATCAGCTTATTTGAAGAGATGAATAATAAAGAAGTATAAATTAGTACATGTAGGATAGACGACGCTAATATCCCTTTCTTTTCCTTTGCTACATACTTTATCCATTCTACTAATTTTCCTATATTTTCTGCGTCTGCTGGATAACCAAACTACTCGGTAGTGAAATGGACGTAAAACCACTCAAACAAACAAACAAACAAACATTAGCTTAGTTGGTTAGAGACCACAGTAAAGAGATCTGAGGTCCACTGGTCTAGGGTTCAAATCCTGGTCTTGTAACGCTGAATTTTATGTTTTGTTTATAAATCCTGCAAATGTTCACAAATAATTTATGGAAGCTCTATTCATTAAAACAAATCGTAGTTACAAATTGTTGGCAGAGCATCATCTTGAAATTTCGAGCTATCATCTTGAAATTTCGAGTTGTAAACACGAAAAAACGATAGTTTTCTTTTTTTTATACATGTCCCTAATGCTTTTCCGTATACGGGGCATGAAGATCCTAAACCAAAACAGCTGTGCATTTTCCAATGTATACAAAATAAAAACATGTGATAAAATTGTCGAGGAAATTCATGACTAACATTCCTCGAGGACTTAAGACTTAGGTATGACTAAAATGTTTAATAAACTCAACTACTAAACTATTTAATAAGCTCAACTACTTTTATGCCTATGCTTACTGTGATAATAATTTGAATGCTCATTTGTTTTCTATTGTATCATGATTTTAACTAACCCTTTTACTAAAGAGGACCCTGTGGAAGATTAGCTTTGCTAAACAGGTTTTTATCCTCAATAAATAAAGCTTATTATTATTAATTGCGTTTTGCCATTGTATATAAAAGTTTCCAGGTAACAGAAAATTCTACATATAAGTGCTACAATGAAGCGACTAGTTTTTGCTTCTTTTTTGCTTGTGTTTTACTTCCAATGAATAGCTATGGTCATTTAAGGACGAGCCATGTTTTCGGTGGTGGAGGAAACCGGAGTACCTGGGAAAAAAACCCACCGACCAGCGGAAAAACGACGTGGTCACTGCATCTCTTAGGCCTAGAACCCACAGCCTAGCGGCGAAAGGATAGTGATCATAAACGGTCAGATGCCTTGACCACTTTGCCTCCGCGGCACCCTCTTTAGAGATTGATGAGACAATGCATTAAATTAACTACTTCGAGTGTAGTTATGGTTTTAAAGTTTCTCTTACTAAAGCCCAAA